GACTAGTTAATAATAGAGAAAAGATTTGTAAGATAAGAAACGGACACAAAAGAGTACTTCATACATAGATACCTAATCTATTATGTTTTGACTCAGACATTGATCTGCACTATCATATCAAATTTAGTTAGCAGATTATGCACAATACCTTTCAGGCAGTCTCGAAAAAAAATCGAATTTAACCTCAAGTTGAAGTGCCTGTAAATAATTGTCTTGATTATATTCATTTGATTGATCAATAAGTAATTGTTAAATTAACAGCATATTTTTGATGGACACGCACTACTGCTGGACAACAATAACATGGACACGCATGTGGAGTAATACTACAGCAACATGGACGAGCTGCTAGAGCAACAACACCGAAATACATGATGAAGATTGCTTGATACTGTTTATCAATACATTCTGTATGTATCTATTTACATTGATGATCAAAAGATTTTTCATACAAGCAATTATTTATGCTTCATATGTGTCATACACTGATCAATCGATTGCTCGGAAAGTGAAATGCATTATTACCACTAATATGTATCTATTGTATTTCAAAGAGATGAATTATACTTGGAAATTTTTAAGCTATGTTAGATTTGTAACAATTCTGACAATGTTAAGACGCTCAAACTCTGTTTTAGAGTTATGAGAAATTTATATTTCGAGCCATTCGAATGGCTACCAAAAACCAGATAATATTTCGAGATTTTGTTTGTTGAAAGTTGTTTTTTATGGGAAAAAGCACGATATTCGGAGTCAGCATGAAAAATACACAGAAAACTAGACTTTTCATAGTCAAACATTACATACGAAAATTTTCTACCTACTCCTTCATCAGCCTCTGTTCCTTCAATATTGCACATTGCTTCTCTACCAATAAAATTTTCGTGTGAAATATTTGACCATGAAAAGTCGAGTTTTCTGTATATTTTTCATGCTGACTCCGAATGTCCCGCTTTTTTCCATAAAAAACAACTTTCAACAAACAAAATCTCGAAATATTATCTGATTTTGTGTATTTTCGATGGAAATGACTCTTAATATATAACTCTTAATAATATTTCATATGCACTTAAGATTAGGGATGGGGCAGTTCCAGTTCAGTTCTTTTGAACGCGAACTGGTTGCTGCTTCTTTTCAAAAGTATGCGAACTGGTATCAGTTCTTTTCAAAAATTTATAAGAAAATAAAACCGGTAAAGCTAGGTTACATTGACTTTATTTAGTGCGCTAAAGGTAGATGGTGCATTGAGTGGACTAAACAAAGTCAAGGTGAGTAGTCCTACTGGTCTTATTTTATTTTGAATTTCTGGTAACTAGTCCCCGCTCTAAGAACGAGAACAGCTAACCAGTTCTTAAGAACTTTAGGAACTCGAACTATCCCACGCCTAGTTAAGATGTTTCATAAGATGCTAATAAAATATATTTGTGTTTTTAACAAGGACAAGAGAGATTGTATTTCGAGGGCCAACTTCATCAACTAAAATAATACAGAGGACACGAAAAAAGGGAATTGTGTCTATCCCATCATTTATAGCCTATGGAGCAAGAACAGAATGTACACAATCTGAATAGAAAAACAAAATATGATCATTTATTCTCATAAATTAAAAGGAAAGAAGCTTCTATTAGCATGCATTGACCAATCTTTAACACCAAACACTTATCGATTGCATCTATGCCATCAGTCAATTACAAAATAGTTAACAATTTCTATCGAATCTCGATAAAAGCTTGACTAAGGATTTCCCCATAAGATACTGATATCTAGTGGGGTCTATACGATCCCTATGTCAGTCATTCCGTGCCTTCGTTACATTGCTGATCGTAGATATTGATGTTCTAATACTTTTATTGAATTATTTTCTAATTTATATATGTCATCTAATGTAATGAATTGACACTAAAAGAACAACTCTAATAAAACTTTCTAAAACGATACTTTAAAAAAGTTTTGCTTTGAATGAGGAATTTTGGAAAAATGTGAGAGAAAAGTGTGGAAGATTTGGACATTTTGTGACATGCAGCTTTTTTTGATCACTCTCTCCATTCGTATTCGAACAATCGATATATATCGAACTGAAATGATCCTATAATACAGGCATCACATACGGTTAAACAGATAACGCTGCCGCAAACCATACTTAAGTGAACATTACTGAGAGGTGTCAGTGATCGGTATCCGAAGATTTTTCTCGCTGACACATACTTCTATTGACTGCAGCTCTCAGTTCACAGATTAAAATACTCTTTATCTAATAAATGACATTGAAGCGATATATTTTATTCAAAACTTTCTCTATATATCGTAAATATGTAAATATTTGACAGTTGTTCAAATTTCAAGAAAGCTTTAAAGTTAAGCCGATGATGTCTCCATGTGGCAAACTTTTATTACATAATGAAGAGAAAAGTGCTGGGACTAACATGAGGGATTCTTAGCAGGATCTCCGAGGCCAAAACATTTTCGAATTCGTCTGTAGGTCGCTACTCTTTGTATTTGATTGTTAGCACCTGCTCCTCCATTACATTCTAATTGTCCGTTGATAATTCTGGTAGTGGCTGCAAAATCGCCTTGCTTAGCTGGACCAGCCATATTATTTGAATTGTAAAACCACACAGCAGTTTTCACTGCCAAATCTGCTCGTTGCTCCACTAAATCTGGATTAGAAAGAAGATCTACACCCAACGCTTGACCAGCTGCATGATAATTGCAAGGCCAAGAGAGTTGAAACCAGCCACGTCCATAGTACAACTTTCCCGGTTTGCCTTGAATACTGCACCATGTTCCAGCATAGTGTGAACCACAACCTGTTACAAAGTTAGACATCATCACAATGATTATGATAATTCTCTCCAAAATTAGAATATCTGCATTCAGTTGTTATCTGACACAAAAGAATAATTCGATTTAATTCTCCCTCTTAACTACGGTAACTTTTGTTATCATTAGCTCGAAGAATCTGTCTTTAACTAAATAATGTTTGCAAAACATGATCAATTTGACTATTATTCTCAACCGTTCCGTTCTCAGACGGTTTTTAACGGAGATCCATCTTAAGAATAGAACAATGTGTGACATTGCCATGAGAGTTAGCAACTAAAATGAAAAATTCCTAATTTTGATTGATACTGACCTGGTGCACAGTATTCTCTTACAGTTTTGAGTCCATCGGTTTCGTGAAAGACGTGAGCGAGAAAGACAGCCGCTTCATCCTTATTTGCCGGTGTCCATCCTGACTTTCTAAGTCCATCGAGCCGATTAGCACGCGTTCCAGCATCAATTGTGTTGAATGCACAGGCAAAAATCTGATCAGTGATTAAATTTCCATTGCCACTGCTAGTACCGCCACTCAAACAAGGTCCTGCTGTACAACCAGTACCGCAATAATCTGGCCCCGTTCCACAGTAACCCCATTGAGATTTACACATTTTTGAATCCGGACAGGCTTGACGTCGTTCAATATGATGAACTTTTCTGTTTTCTTCTTCATTAACATTTCCTTGAAGTACTCCAATCAAGCCGAGACCGATCACAACAAAAAACAAACATGTCTGCTCAAATTGAATAGTCATTATTAGTTCGATTAACAACGAGAAAACAACGCTAACAAATATAAAATATGCACATACAGACAAATATATATATATATATATATTATTTATTTATTTAAATAGATAAGGTTTGCATACAGATGTTTTTTTTCTCATTTCCATTGATATTTGTTCCTCGGCTCTCTATAGTTAGGATAAAAAATTGTATGGACTGTAAATTAGTTTGTTATACCCATGTTCGGACTTGTTGACATTCGAAGTTAGATCTTTGAAAATTCCAAATTTAAGCAATCCTCTTTTTGATTATTCAGAATGAATGTTACACTTTATTAAAAGTCTTTGATTAATTTGATTTTAGTCTAATTCCTTCGAAACTTTGTTCACTGTGGCTTGTGACTTTTATTATATTTTAAGTTAAATAATTGTCGTTGATTTTGACCATCAAAATCAATCGAGTATTTTGATAAGATAAAGATCGTTTACACGTTTAACCTTTAATTGAATTCAAGATCCCTTGCTCGTTGAAATTACACAAAGAAAAGTTTTGATGAAATCCTTTTTATTTTCTGATTTCCTGAAAAAGATTGTTTCCCATATTGATAGTTAACAAAAGACAATAAAGATTTTAAAAGATTAAATCAAAAGTATTAATTTAAATTCTCTCTTTTATTTGATATAGATCGACAACAACACCCACCACCAAGAAAGCAACAAAAAGATGAAAATAGCACGCGTCGTTCGATGTGTTGGCAGAAAATTCAAATGATGTCGACATGCAATCCACTGGTGATCAAACCGTTTCATTGGTGCAATCACCCACTGATTTTACAGCGGCATCCTCACCGCAGCCAAATAATCAGTCGTTTCAGCCATTACAACGTTTATCATCGTTACCTACGCAACAATGTCAACAGTGTGTCAGAGCAATATGGCCATGGGATGTCATTGGAAATTGTAATCAATGTAATGGTGTTCTATGTTGGGTTTGTGTAGGTATCAGCGGTAGCACATATCATCTTTGCAACTCATGTCGGAATGACTACATATACCAGCAGCAATTATATGCGAATAATCAACAATAATGAATAGTGTGAACAAGCAAAATGTGCATAGCTAATGAACAGATTCATTTTCTCTCTCCTTCTCTGCATGTTCTACTTTAACATTTTTGATATAACATTTCTTACCAATTGTATAGGAGAGAATTCTGCATATTATGTTGTCAGATAAGGTTGATATAACCTATGCATCGTTTGGAAGGTTGTCTAGAAGAGAACCCGAGTTTCCTAGCTGTAACACACGAGTGTCTGCAGTTGCCCCACACTTCTCGTGTATGCATGAAATTGCCTCATTGGGGCAATTGCAAACATCTTCTACTTTTTTTAAAATTACTGTGTTAATTAGAGCTTAGCTTGATTAGAGACCAGAGATAGGAGATTCTTACCGACCGTAGAGAAAGGTCTCCGCTATCCACCTGTGCAAGAACGACTAATGAATCTTCTTACCTTAATGAAGAAAGTTAATTATACTAATGAGTGCTTTTCCCTTGTAAAATACACGAGTGTCTGCAATTGCCCCATAGAGTACTAGCGATGTATGCAATTACCCCATGTGAGGTAATTGCAGAGAGACCGAGAGATACACTCCTAGAAGCCGGTTTTCGAAAAGTTTTTTTTGGATGAGCCAATGATTAATAAAAGCTCGTAGAATTATGTAAGATTTTATAGGATCCTATCATAAGAATCCTATACGTTCCCACATATCCCAGGAGCCTGTACGATCTTATAGGATCCCAGTAGGATTTTTTAACATGGGCAGTCATAATTAAAGAAAGTTACGGCAGAAGTTGAATGATGTCGAAAACATTACTGAACTTCTTCCTTAACTTTCAATAAGTCAATAGAATTGCTTAAAGCATCTTTAAAGGCTCCTTTGTAGTGTAGACAAGGCCTTGCGGCTAAAAGTATTTTACCCATTATGTTTTTCTATGAACTCCTCCTTCCAATAAGGGAATATACAGAAAGAAAACAATATTGAGGGGTGAGATTATTCACACCACCAAGAATCAAAGAGTGGTTATTTTTTTATTTAATTCTACCTTAAAAATGTTAAAAAAGTAGATATAAACTATATCCAAAATTTTAGTTAGACAAAGAAGTGTTCAGACTAGATGGAGACTTTTGTAAGAAAAATCTTTTTTCGTCTTTGACAGTTTTTGCTTCCGAAAGTTAAAAACTATTTATTTTTTTAATACTATCGGTCCTAGTCTTCTGTTTCCACACTTTTTTTTAATCTTGTTGTATAGCATATAAGAAAATAAGAAAAATGTAATTTCCTTTTCAATAGCTGTTTAATTATGAGTTTTCTGTAAATACTGCAATTTATTTACTTGTTTAGATTATCTAAATTTATTTATAAACTATATCACCATGATAATAAATATAAAAGAAAAATTTATGCAAATGATGCCTGAAACAGCTCCACAAATGTTAATGAATTTCCTGTGTGCTTTAACCCCTAGCAGCATTCCCGCTTCATTTCGCGGCAAGAATACAGCCTCATCTTGCCGCGATTTTGACAGGAAATTTGAAACTTAATGCGGGATCGATACCGCGATCGTACCTAATCTTGCTAATTTTCCCGTGTAACGAAAATTTAACAATCTTGACGCGAAAATTTTTTGACGGTATCGTGCTGGAATCCTACAAAGGTTGCGGCAGGATTAAAACGGGATCCGGACAAGAGCGTATCAAGATCCCGGTGTGATTAAAACCAGGTTGCAGGAAGGCTGAGCAAGCTTACTATCCACTTATCTGATTGTCACTGCGTTCTTTCGATGGTTTAATCTCTTTTTCATCAAATTTCATAATGTTTTACTCGGTATTTTCTACGAGAACATGAAGTAATTAGAGATTTTCTCCTAGAACACCATCTTCAGAGTACACAGCAATTTATTTTCTTTGTTTTGAGTTATAAACTTCATTTCATTTCAATATTATAAAGTTGAACTATTATTAATTTGCTCATCTAAAGTGTGATATTGTTTTTGCCGGTGAGAAGTTTCATCTCAGATGTATCTTTAGGTTCCTCATCGGTGTATTTTTCAGTTCTAATTCGAAACGTTACTGGCAATGGATCTCAGAATAGAAGTAAGAGGGACTGTCTTAGTGTTTCATCTGTGAGTTGTGCCAATAAGGTAACGTTTGCCGTATGTGCACCGTGAATATAAAAAAGATACTTTGTGTAGTAACTGTGTAAATTTATATATTTATTGATGTATCCAGTCGGAAACATAATTGTATGGATCATTGACTTCAGAGTTTTTTACGTTCCTATATTAAGAAACTATTGAAAATCTAAAACCTTCATTCTTGTCTTTATTAATTTTTTGCAGTGTAGTATTACATAACACGAATTTTAAATTAAAAACTATGGAAAATATTGGTTTTTCACTAAAAACCTCTGAGAAAAAGTATTTTGATCCAAAATATAGATTTCAATAAGAACAATATGCTCCATTCGATACTGGTATCGAAAACACCAGAAAAAATATAAATCTTTTGTGGGGTAAATCGTCCAGCTCGAAATTCCCATTATGAAAATAAAAATTGAAAAAATCCAACTTCTCCACTAAATTCAACGTCTTTACAAACCTCTACGTTCTGACTTTCAAGTTACTATCATGGATGTGTGAGGAGTCATACAACTTTTCTCTTATTGGAAATCATCTCATGATGTGTTTCAGTGTTTCGAAAAACTTTATCCTCCTTGGAGAGGACGCTTGGCTTGATATATGAACATTTAAAGGACAGCTTTAACAAAAACATGATTTTCGAACTCATGCATAAGAGAAGTGTTCTTAATGATAATCAAATGTGAAATGTGTTTCATGACAAGAACGACTTCGTTTACACGATCTTCTTGATATTAAGATATTCTTCGATTTTTCCAGGACAGGCCGCACCCGCAACCTCTTAAACGCAGAAGTATTCAAAATTGATTATTGTTGTTGGTCGATAGTTTATCTCGTGTTGTAAACTTTTTATTTCTTGAGCAGAGTACTTTCACGCAGGTCCGCTAGTCCTGTACAAAAGCATCGATATCTTATTAGTGCACATTTTGTACTCTCTAAAAAAAAAAGGCTCCATACTAAACCATTAAGGTTTCGTGTATTTTTTCGAAACTTTTCATGGTTTTGTAGTGAAATTTTGAAATTCAAACGGTTTGTTAGACGGTACGAAACCTCAAAACAAAATATTTTTCTACAAGGTTTTGTACAGAGTATACAAAACCGGCGAAGTGGTTTCGAGTAGTTTCGTAGCATTAAAGGTTTAGTAGAAATTTCACAAACCTTACGAGTTTCGTATCGCATTAAACACTTCTTCGATGAAAGAAGAATATGTTGAAAAACCAATAAATAATTAGTAGCAGATATTTATTAGCCTTAAGGCAGTTATCCGAAAGACGTTGTCTATTTGGAACAGGCGATTTATGTGAATATCATTAGATGGAGCTATTTTTTCTCTGCTGTGATTGGACTAATACAGAAACCAATAAATGACAGAATGTGAAAGGTGACTATTTTATTTCTTTGCTTTTTGCATGAACTATAGCCTACTTCATCGCGGAAAGTTAAATATACTGTCTTTCCATACCATTCCTTCCTCCGTTAGTTAAACCAAGTTTAGAAATGTTCACACGATCTAAAAAAGTTCAATAACGGTTAAGGATTGAGGAACATCTTCTTTGNTGTTTAACAAACATAATAAAGCACTTGAGGCAGTCAAACTTGAAATGCAAAAAACACCATGTAAATGCGCTATTTTTCGGAAAATTTCGATTTTTATTGAAGGATAGTAAATTAGAATAAAACTAAGATCATATTCAGAAAGAACAGAGTCACACGAATACGAAATAAAAAAGAATTTTGTTTTTCGAGTGAAACTTAAAAGTTTTACAATGGATTCTTTTGAAAACGGTCTAGGCTGTAAAGGCTCTCTCCGGTATTTTGAGAACGCGCA